TTTTTTTTTTTTTTTTTTTTTTTTAAGTCAGGATCTCACTAAATCCCTAAATTGCCCAGGCTGTGTTTGAGCTTGCAATCCTCCTGCCTCAACCAACCTCCTGGAGGTCTGGGATTATAGGTATATGCCACGCAGCCCAGCTTCCTCATTTTTAATGGACTATCTTTTAATTGTTAAGGAAAAATGAATCTTAGAGCTTATTACCTTCCTCAAACTCCACAACAAGTAGCTGGGGCTTTATATCCCTTCTTTCAGGTACCGAATTCACCAACTCCGGACACACTGTTCGGGCTGCAGTCAGACGTGCCTGAGGGACCGAGCTGACTAGATTTACCCTTACTTCTGGCTTTCCTCCTCAATCCACATTTCTGACTTTCTGTCTTGACCTAGAGAGGATCCACAGACTAGGATGAGAAAACTTATCTTTGTTTTTCATATATCTAACTGAAATTTAGCATTCCCTTCAATTACGAAGAAAACAAAGCACAACAGCACTAACAATATCAGAGATGAAGGGCCGGGGATTTAGCTCAGTGGTTCTGCCACCTCCTTTGCTGGCGCAAGGTCCTAAATTCAATCCTTGGTACAAAAAAAAAAAATCTGAGATGAAATCACAAATATTTTAACAGCACACTGCAGTTACTGAAAATATCTCAGAAAGGCATTTGTACTCATCAGTACTTTGAGAGGACCACAGTTATTAGCTCTGTGGCTAGCTCTTGTTACTTGTTGCATTAATAAAGTAACACTGCTATCTTATACACTTTCAAAAATGATTTCCATGTCCTTGGCTTCCTTTGTAACCTTATGCATTTTATTTCCTGCTTTAAAAAACATTCTGAGAAGTTGGGTGTGGTCGTGTGTTCCAGCTACTCAGGAGGCTGAGGCAGGAGGATGCCTTGAGCCCAGGAGTTAGCCACCATCGCTAACAAAAGCAAAGGAAATAAACACAATTCCGGGAAGAGGTCCACAGGTCTCCCCAGACCGCCACAGCAACCCACAGCACACAAAGGCAAAGGGCCCCTGGCTCCACCGTGCCTCCTGATGCCCAGATTTGTAGCCTGTGGCCACCGGTTGGTGGAAAGCAGGCTGTGAGGGAAGCTTAAGGGTTTCAAAGGGTCCAGAAAAGGCTCTGGCAGTGAGGCAAGATGCTGCCCCCTGAGAACCAAGACCTGTCATGTAAAGGTACAAGATCCCAGTAAGGACTGTAACTGTACTGTATACCTAAAATGTACCAACAAACTTAATGAGGAAAAAAACAAAACAAAAAAAAAACCCAAAACAAAACAAAATGCAATACACGGACAAACGAATCTGATCGTGTCAGATGTGAAAGCATGTACCGTCAGTAAGTTTTTTAAAAAAGATGCTGCCCCCTAGTGGGTAAAGGCAGAACTGCGAGACTTTGTCAGGTCGATGGGCTGGTGGTAGATGTTCTGTGGTGTCTGGGTCTGAAACAAAGGCTCAAGGCTGCCTGGGTGCTCTGACCGGCCTGCTTCTCAGGCCTTCGTCTGGAACACTCTCCCTCCCTCCTTTCAGCGCTCTGGACATTTCCCTCGTCTGCATTTCTGGTCTGCTTGCGGGTGCTTGACCTTGGGCACCCCTTGGTCTGCTCCCCTGGCTCATCTGGATTACTCTGCTTGCTCCCTGTCTCAGACCATCTCAGTTCTCCTTCGTTCCCTTTTCCTTCCTCTTCTTGGGATTGAACCCAGGGCCTTCGCACTGAGCTACCTTCCCAGCCCCAGCCACTTTGAAAAAAAATTTATATATTTATTTAAACTGTAAAGCCTCCTGCCTCAGCCTCCCAGACCTGTCCAGGCTTCTTGACAATCCTTGCGTAGGCCTGTGCTCAGCTTTTCAGCCCTCCTAGTTGGAAATGCATATTTTGTTGTTCAAAGTCTGTCCCCCACTGCACACGCCCTCAGCCAGGACGGACCGTTCACTTGCATTCTTGCAGTCCTCCCCGTAGCTACTCAGCAGTACCATTAAGCTGCATCCAGCAGACGGGCTTTGGTCCATCTCCCCCAAAGCAAGTCACTCTCCCTTTCAAAACAGCCCATGGACTAGCAACCTCGTGATAGCACGACTCAGGGCAGCATCGCAGGGACATGGCATGACCTCCATAGGCTGGGGAGACAGTTGGCCGATGGTCAGAGAGGCCCTTCCTGCTCCCTCCCTGGGTGGCCTTGACCTCTTGGTGCCTCAGTTTCCCCATCCGTAAAACTGTGAAAAGACCAGTGCCTATGGCACAGAGCGGCGAGGGACAGGAAGTGAGGTGACAGGAGCAGAGCCTTGGACACAGCCTAAGTAAGGAATGGTGTAAAGATCGGGACCTGGCCTGAGGGGTGGTCTTTCCTGCTTCCATCTTGTGAAGTGGAGCTGCTGAGGGCACAGTGCAAGGGAGAGGTTCCTCCTCCTTGCCACGCAGAGCGCTGCCTCCCACGGGCCACACTCTTCCCTCGCGTGGTGGGAAGGGAAGCTGGGAGGGAGGGAGGCAAATTGCTTTTTTTTTTCCTCTTCCAGGACCCACTGGATTTTGGGATGATTGGCGGCACAGTGGTCACTGGAGGATGGCACAGGACCCACCGGAGCCAGAGCTACCGGGCTGACAGGAGGGGAAAGGCAAATGTTGGAATAACCCAAAACAAAAGGTTTCTTATCTCTTGGGGACCAAATGGAAGGGGCTATGTAGAGAGTGAGACTGGAATTAGATTTGAAGAATTTCCAGATCACAAACTTTGCTAACTAGAGATTTTACGCAGGGTGTGTGTGTGTGTGTGTGTGTGTGTGTGTGTGTGTGTGTAACTACCTCTGCCCAAACAGAACAGGTAAAAAAGAAAAAGAGAACGGGTAAAGAGAGCTGGAGTAGCCCAAAGCCCACGTGACTTCACGAGGCCCCCGAAGGCAAGCCTGTGTGGCCTCGGTGACACACGCCACCCGATAGGTGCAAGTGTACGATAACTTTATTGGTCGGGTCTGTGCCACTCCGGCTTCTCCTGTACTAGGTTCCACGTGGAGGCGAAAGTGTCCCTGTGCAGGTGCTGTCCGAAGAGCCCGGGCAGGGGCAGCCTCACCCCTCCCCTCAGAGCGCCCCAGTTTGGCTTTTGTGGACTGCAGGGTCTAGAGCCATGGTCCGAGTGTCCTCTTCCCTTTCAGGAAGCCGCTTCCAAGACCACAGAACCGGCCTTGCCCTGGGGATGGCTCAGCCCTTCACACCCCGAGCAGAGGAGTGAGCAGGTCAGGCCAGACAGCTCTGCCTTGTGGAGGTGGGAAGAATTAACCGCTTTCCCATCAAGCTGCAAAGCAAAGGCACCTTCAGACATGGGGTGCAGCTCAGAGATAGGGGAGCAGGGCGGGGGGATCTGCTGCCTGGCCTGGACCCCAGGGAGTGTCCTCAGCAGAGACTCAAGCTAGAGCCTTGGAAGAGTCAGGTCATACAGAGGAGCCACGTCCTCCTCCCTTGGGCCCCCTGAGTCCTGTCTGTCTCTCTATCAGTATAGAAAACCTTCCTGCTTGGGTCAGAGGAGAGGGCAAACCAGCTTCCTTAGGCTGTGGAAAACCTGTGGCCCCCACTATCTAGGATAAAGACTCTGGTAGGAGGATGCAGAGAGCACAATGGGCAGGAAAGACACTACTGAGGCTGCCTCCCAGTTCAGCCTGTGAGGTGCACTGGCAGCCACTGTGGGCCCTGAGGATAACCAGGTCTGACCGTTCTTCCTCTGAAATCTGAAGGAGCTTCGAAAATCTAGCCCCAGAAATGCAGCTAAGCCTGAGGTTGGTTCTTTGGCATCGGGACACAAATATTATCAGGACCATCAATCTGGTAGCTTTCCAACCCTGAGGTTAAGGAGGGTGGAGCAGCGACTCTCAGTATCCTTTTAATCTTGGACAGAAGTGCGGGCTGTCTCCACAGGTCGCTGGGCAGGGGCCTCCTGCCTTGGGGACTCCTGACTGCTGAAGGGGTAGGAGGGGCGTCTATGAAGTGGGGCTGAGTGGCCAAGGTGGACCGAGGAGGAGGTGGCTGAGCAAGAGGTATATTTTGAGGAGCAATGAGCAGGAGCTCAGAGTGGCCGCACAGCCAGCCCAACAATGCAGAGAGTTACCAGGCGCTGTGCAGAGAGAGAATCAGAGGTGTCTTGAAAGTAGCTTACATGCCATCGCCCAGGCAGTGCTGAAAGCTCCCTGACATCAGATCATCAGGGAGAACTTGAGTAGTGAGATTTGTGGGACTGAGGCTCCCAGGGCTCCCCGCCGCTACTTCTGTGCTCTGGGAACAGAGGGCATCTGCCTCCATCCGCAGCAGAAGCCTGCCCGGCCCCTGACGCCGCCTAACCCTGCCCAGGGAAGAGACTGAAGAGGAGCCCATGGATGGTGTCACATGGTTGTCCCAGACCTTCCAACAAAAGCCAAACCAAGCCATCAAGCCAAGGGCAGGGGATGCAGGGGCCCGGTGTGCGGCCGCTCAGATCTCGATGAGGCTGGCGAGGCGCAGGCAGAGGGGCGCATCCACTGGCATAGCGCTGCGCTGGATCTCGTTCCCGTCCAGGCGCAGCACCTGCAGCTTGGAGAAGTTCATCACGTCCACCACGGTGCAGAAGCTGCTGATGGAGAACTCTGCGGGGTTGAGAAGGGTGGAGAGAGAGAAAGAGAGAGAGAGGGAGAGAGAGAGAGTGTGTGTGTGTGTGTGTGTGTGTGTGTGTGTGCACGCGCCTGCTTCTGCAGCCGTGCCGCTGACTGCCCCCACCACCTGTGTGCCCTTTGAGTCCCTTCCAATGTCCTTGAGTGTCCCTCCCACTCGGACTTGGTCTTTTTCTATCTGTGGACAGAAGGGGGCAGCAGAGGGCAGCTACAGACTGAAGGTAGCTGCCTCTGTAAGTGCTTGATTGCTTTTGGAGAGGGGGGATTTGAATTGCCGTGAGAAGGAAGGCTGGAGGAAATAAAAGAACTTACATCTTGAAAGTCTCCTGCCTCTTTGTAGGTAGAGAAAGTGGCAAGAAGTTAAAGAGAGAAATCCCCGGGCCAAGAGACAGCAGAGAGCATCTCCTGTGCGGCAAAGCTTTGAGAAGGCTGCACCCTTCTTTGCCATCTCCCTGGTGCCAGGACCCTGAGCCACGTTCCGGGACTAAAGCAGGCTGCACACTCCAAGCTCTTGGCTGCACTGCACCTCACAAGCCAAACAAATAACTCCCCTGCCTCCTGCATTTAACATGATTTCAGTCTATTTCCTTTTTCAAATCTCATAAGAAATCCCTGTGCGAGGGTGCTCCCTGAGCCACGTCCTAGATACAACAGTTCTGTCTGCTTCTAATGTGAGTCCTTCCGTAGCTCCTGCTCGGGCTGCCCTTCTCTGAACAAATTCTCCTTCAGGCATCCTCTTGGACAAACCAATGACCTCTCTCTCCAGTCTACCGAGTCAGCAACTTGAAAGAAAAATAAGGATATAAGACCTAAGTCAAAAGTGCAGTGGGTCTCACAAGTCCCCACCCAGAGCTGCCGGAGCCCCTGGGCCCTGCTCCCAGAAGGGGCTCTTCCACCTCTGCCTGGAGCTGAGTTAGAGGAGAGACAAGGGCCATATTCTCTCCCAGCCTGGAGTCTCAGACCCTGGGTCCCAGCTGGGGACACCTAAATATAGGATATGCTCTCGGGGAGCTAGATCATGTGTACAGATGCTCCCCCCAGCCCTGCTGTCTCCCCCAAGCCCACGAATAGCACAGGGCTTTCTGGGTGGAGCCTCCAGCTGACATTTTCCAGCCCAGATGAAATACTGACCTAAGTCTTTCCAAATTCCTCTTGGTGTAGCCGCCCTGCTCCTCTGGACCCCAAATCCTCTGAATAACATTCCACGCTCTGTTCCTGAGCTGTTGCCAGGCTGGAGCGCCCCCCCCACTTGCCTGAGCTTCTCCCTGAGGGCTCCTTGGATCCTCTCTTTACTGCCCCACCTCAAATTCCTGGGTGCAGGAAGGCACCCCTCACCTCCACCCGAAAGGGGGAGCCTGGGTTAGTGTTTTCCTGCTGGAGGGATCTGAGTCAGACAGAGATTCCTCTCCATTCTCGGGGTGCTGACTCCAGGCCCCCTACATTTGCAGCAGGAGCATGGGTTCTATACCAGGTAGTCTGGGTGATCTCAAGAGATGGCTTTTCTTCTTCTGTGCCTCTGTTTCCCCATCTTTGCAATGCAAATAACAACAAAAATGGTACCTGCCAACCTCAAAGTGGCTGCTTTTTAAATTATGTGGTAGGCCCTCGACCAAGAACTATGCATATATTAACTCACTAATTCAAGAAGAGTAAGGCATTGGAAGTATGTTTCTTAAAAAAAAACACTGGGGGCCTGGGTTTAGCTCAGTGGTGCCACAACCTGCCCCCCAAGCATAAGGTCCTGAGTTTGATCCCAGGTACCAAAAAAAAAAAAAAAAAAAAAAA